GAAAAAAATCTGTTACTACAGCAATGTTTATAATGTCTCTGTAAAAAAACAGTAGACAATGAGCATGGAACCTATTTTCGGTGGCACGTTAAGCTAATGTGGGTCAATGTGCTAATAAAAACACATCTTTGATGTTTAGCTGATGCTTTTTTCTTTTTAGGTGATGCTTGAGTGGTCGTGTCTACATGAGTTCTGCTGATCCAGCAAGGTCACATGCTAAAATTGCTACAAAGCAAAAATACACATAATCAATACATGCAGTGTTATCATAATAAATATTTAATGAAGCTCCAGGACTTATTTTAGCCCTCCGCAGATCAGTCAGAATTGAGTTCAAAGCGTTGAGTTCAGACGAGCCACTAAAAAAAATAATCTAAAACAGCTCGCGCTGGAACAGGTAATAAAGCAGGACATGATGACAAGGGAGCGACAAAACCACAGAGTAATATTCAAAAAACAAAACAAGTGAGGTGGAAACTAAACTACACAACAGGAGAAGAATTTCAAATTAAAAGAGGAAGAAAAACATGAATAAAGAACCAAAAAGCTATTAAATAAATCCAGACTTTTAATTTTAACCTATATCTCTCTGTTGTAATTCAGAAATAGATTTTTTTTTCTTGAATGCATTCTTGCTTAAGGTCACATTCAAAACGTAATTGTTTAAAAACTACATGTTTTGATTGTGTTTCATCGTTTTATCTTCTGGAAACACTTTTCAACTCTTTTCTCAACATGTTTAATTTTCACCTTCGTACTTCCCCAAGTTTCTTCATGTGTCGCCATAGTGACAGGTCACTGACTTACATCACCTTCTTTCAAACATTCCCACATAAAAAATTGTGTGAGAAAGAGTAAAACTGCTGAGGAAGAAAAACATGCAAGGAGCTCACGTAAAATAAAGGAAAGTAACTTGTTGTCTTTGTGTCTTTTAGTCGAACTTTCAAATTTAATTTTCCTACAGATTCCTTTTTACCCCGGTGTGCTTGAATCTTCTGGTTCGGTCTTGTTGCCTAAAAGAAACAACGAGTTGTTTTCATGTGGAAAAAACAAAGACAGTCTAGTTACATCTATTTGTCACAGTTGTTCATTTCCAACTCACTGTTCTCACTTTATTCCTGAGGAAAAGTGCCAGCACACACTTTTTCAAGGTCATTTGTCACCAGTGAAGCGCAGATCTGAGGAGCCGGAGCAGTTGTCGGGTGTGTTATTAACAACGGGACCCCTCTTGTTGTCACATGTCTCGTGCTCCTCCGGGCTCTTCAAGTTGTCATAAAACTGCCGAGAGGAGAAGTCACCTTCTCAGGACTCTCAGGAGAGGCTCCTCGAGGGGCGGAGGCACACGCATGTTTTCATAACGCGATATGTCAAATGAAGCTACATCTCGGAAAACACAGAATTTGTGCAGTTCTATTCCCATATTTATAGTTTCTTTTATTTATTTATTTTTGTTCAAAGGCATGTTCTGGGCAATAGCTGCATGTCATGACCACTGACATTGTCAAAGTTGGAAGAAAGTCATTGTTTTAATAATTAAACAATAAAATATGACTTGTTGTTTTAATTCATAAAAAAACAAGTTTCACACTCAGTGATGTTCACAACATCCATCCATCTTCTCCTGCTAATTTGAGGGCAGCAGCCTAAGCAGGGAGGCCCAGACTTCCCTTTCCCCAACCACTTTGGCCAGCTCCTCTGGGGGAATCCCAAAGCCTTCCCTGGCCAGCCGAGAGACACAGTCCCTCCAGCGTGTCCTGGGTCTACCTTTAGGTCTCCTCCCGGTTGGACGTGCCCAGAAAACCACCAGGGAGGCATCCAGGAGGCATCCTGACCAGATGATTGAGCCACCTCAACTGGCTCCTCTGGTGCAGCGGGTCTACTCTGAGACCCTCCTGGATGACCGAGCTTCTCACTCTGTCTCTAAGGGAGAGCCCATCCACCCTGCAGAGAAAACTCATTTCTGCCGCTTGTATCTCGTTCTTTTGGTCACTTCCCAAAGCTCATGACCATAGGTGAGGTTTGGAATGCAGATTGACCGGTAAATAAAGAGCTCCACCTTCCATTTCCTCTCTCTCTCTCTCTCTCTCTCTCTCTCTCGCTCTATCAATCTATTACTCCCTCTCTATCAGACCAGTACAATGCCTGCATCACTGTGTAACGTGATGTAAGCGGTGACTTTTATTAAATGATCAATAAGATGTGATATTCCATAGAAATATGAATAATCAATATTATTGATCATTAGAAATTTGATCTAATAGTAAACCAGGTCTTTTTGGTAGTTCATGGAAATCACACCTTTGTAATCATTTGAGAGAGAGGCAAAAATATTGTTTATAAAAATCTATTTAATACTATATTTCTTCTACTAATGACAACAAAGCAAATTGTGAGGAATGATAGTTGAAACAAGATAACTGAGACAATGGACGAGATGAGTGAATTTAAGCTTAGATGCTGTGTAGCAAAACCTAATTAAATGTCTTAGAAAATTCTGATGTCTGGGTTGTAAAATGAGTCTGACTGTACAAATTAATAAAACCATTCCACGCCAGCTGTGCAGAATCTACGGATCCTCCCGGTGATCCAGGGGCCGGAGAAGTCGGTACGGACAGGCTGCCGGTGAAGTTGACTTCTGTGGTGTTTGGGACACGTAGCTCCACCCCGAATACAGAACAGTCTGGTCTGAGATACCTTCAGGGTGAATGCTGGCAGTCAGATGGAGTTTGCATTTGATGCAGCTTTGCAGGGTTGCAAAGAAGGTTTGACCTTAAGGTCAAAAGGAGGATGGCTCAACACGTACTTGCTCGGCTTGGCCGAGCACCAATAACCACAGCACCAATCTGCCTATCCAAGACCCCGAGACACAAACGCCTCCACTTGAGGGAGGACCTCCTCTCTGACCTGGAGAAGGCATTCTACCCTTTTCTGACTCAAGTCCAGGTTCTCAGTTTGGAGGTGCCATTTCACTTTCAGCTGTACAGGGTTTATGTGACGCTACTGGTCCAACTCTTGATTTCTCTGGCAGACATGGCACTTCAATATATTTCTTCACTATTGACAAAATACTCTCCAGTCAGACCGCTCCGGTCATCTGAGCATGACTTATTGGTGATTCCAATAATGAGACGGTGTTCTCGGGGTGGGGTGGTGGTGGTGGTGGGGGGGGGTCTGCGTTTTTGCTCATTGACATTCATTGACATTTGGTTAATCGGACCCATGTTTCTGTGCGTTTTTACCTTTATTGTTTTTATTTACTTTTGATAATTGTGTAAAATCTTGTCCTTTTGTTTGAACTAATTCACTTTATGTTTTTATCTATTTGAACTTTTTTCTTTGATTTTAGTATTCAGCAAGTTAGGGCACCTTGACTGGTGGTGTAAAAGCGCTCTTCAATTAAAAATAAATGATGACGATGATGATGATGATGATGATGATGATGATGATGATGATGGTGATGGTGATGATGATGATGATGATGAACCGCTCCGGTGAAAGTCGGACATGTCCAGAACAAGGGAGATCAAAGTATTTAACATAAAGAATGATTAACAGAAAACTGGCCAAGACAAGCATTCAGGTGACTCAGCAGTTTTTATTGAGCAGTGGGAAAATGCCCTGTTGAGATCTGCTGCAGCTGATGGGAAGACAGATTACAGGTGTGACAAAGCAGCTTTATCAGAGGAAGAGTTGTACACTGGCCAGCTGACTCGCCCACAGGCAAGAGTCTCCTCAGACATTGAATCCCAACAAACATGATGCTGCTAATCCTCCAAGATCTTTTTCTGGGCTCTCTCCATCTTCTGCAAGTTGCCATGACAATTCTACCATTTGTGTATGTGATCGCGCCTCACCCTGACCTCTAGCCCAGACCTCACCATCATCATGGTGTTGCATAATGGTAATATGTGTGGCATCTTAGTAGCTGGCATTGGCCGATTCATATTCTCGACTGTTGAGCTACTATAGCTCACAGGCCCCATGTCAAAGATATGCTGCCACTGGTGGCACCAATCTCTACCCAGGACACCAATATGCTGCTACTATCATAATAAATCACAATGATCAGTATGCTCATAACTGTTAATTTAACAGTTATAATAAAGAACTTACTGTGTTCTTCACACACCCCGAGGGTCCTTGCCAAGACTCTGCAAAGACCATCTATGGTCTGGCATCGTGTTAGTTGGGTTTTGATTGAGTAAGAAGAGAAACAAATGCATTTATTCTACATCAGAAATTGTCGGTCAGAGTATGGTTGGATAATAGGGAGAAATCACAAACAAGCAGAAGCCCATTTTAATAGAAACGAGCTTTGGGAAGAGTGTGATAAAGATGTTTACCATTGGGCACAAACAAACACACATTTTGCAGCATGTTGATTATGACCAAAACCTTATTTTTCAAAGATAATGGACGCCTTTTTTTTCAGTAAAAAATGGGTATGAGGTTGTTGTTGATGGTGATGAGGCTGGGGGATGGTTGTAACATAATATCCCCAATGAAGTCCATAAAATGATCTCACTCCACGATAACAGACTGTACGCGTTAGCGCCGTCCTTTCATTCAGGGTGATGCATCAAGGGAAGTAATTACAGTCACCACTGACAGATCGATGAGTAATGCTGACAACAATATCACCGTCTATAAAACCCTGATTTCCCTCAGCCGGGTTCAAACATTTATAGCAGGCACAGCAACAAAGAGCTGCCTTTTGTATTAAACATAAAGTCTGTCTCTTTTTTTAGGTTTTGCAGAGACTTGCTTCACACAGAGTGTGTACATCTGAAGGTAAGCTGGAAAAATTTACAGTATCACACTCTGTCAGTGCCGTTTGTTCCTTTCCTCTTGCCTTTTGATCACCAAATTAAATTAATCCTTTACACCCCCTTAGTACATTGCTGCAAATCCAAAAGGCGAATGTGCTAATTATTGCTATTTTCATTTTCAGTCCAGGTTTGGCTGAAACGCTGCGGAGCCTTTTAAGGGAATCATCAACAATGAGGACCGTGGCTCTCCTTCTGTGTTTTGCAAATATTGTTGTTGTGATACGGGCCAACGATGGCCATTCAGAAGTGTTGCCTGCAACTGAGCTCTCTGAAACAGCTTCCCCCGCTTCTTTAATAGCAGGAACACAAAAATCCATCAGCTCGGTGCATCCGACTCGAGTAGCAGGAGGGAAAATGGCAAACCCTCCGATGTGCTCAGAGTCAGCGGGAATCAGAGGCGCCTTTAAATATGTCAATGTTATGGTTTCTCTGGTGGTGTTTGTTGTTGGGATAGTGGGGAATTCGGCCTTGCTAAGAGTCATTTATGCTAATGACAGCATGAGAAGTGGACCCAACATCATCATAGCGAGCCTTGCTTTGGGGGATCTGATCCACATTATGATAGACATTCCAATCAACTCTTACAGGGTGAGTTATTTCCTATAAACTGTGCACCCACAACCTTGTATCTTGTTCTAATTTCCTGCACTCTATCAATTTTTATCTTGATTGATTTTTTCCACCCTCCTAACAAAAATATCTTTGTATTTTTTGCAGCTCCTGGCAGAGGATTGGCCCTTTGGTTTAGTGATATGCAAACTTGTCCCCTTCATCCAGAAAACTTCCGTTGGGATTACCGTGTTAAGCTTGTGCGCTTTGAGCGTTGACAGGTAACAAGACCAGCTTCACCCTTCTGCCCCTCTCCCCTTCGGAGGCTAAAATCTCTATTTCACCAAGCATTTGGAACTTGAAGAAAGGGCATCATTGTTCTTAAAAAGTTCCCAGAGCCATAATACTTTCTGGTTGATTTTGCAGATATCGTGCAGTTGTATCTTGGAAGAAAATCAAAGGTATCTGGGTTTCCATGTGGACGGCGATAGAAATAGCCCTGATATGGGTTTTGTCAATCCTGCTGGCGGTCCCTGAACTGGTCGGCTTTGATATGATAACGATGGACTACAAAGGAAAACATCTGAGAATATGTTTGCTTCACCCCGTTCAAACCACAGAGCTCATGCAGGTAACATCCCGCTTCATAACAGGATAAAATAAACAAATCAAGAGTTTGAGATGATCGTCAACATAAACGATCGCATAGAAACAGTGAATGCACAAATATTTGTCTAACTTACAGAATTCAACCTGTTTAAGTGTTCATCAAATGTTTTACGGATGCTGTATCACAGCAACCGCTCATCACCGTGTCACCTTTTACAGTTTGTTGGCATGTGTCTTGTTTATTTTAGTTTTACAAAGCTGTAAAAGACTGGTGGCTCTTTGGATTTTACCTCTGCATGCCGCTGGCGTGGACTGCAGTGTTTTACATGCTCATGACCAGGAAGATGCTGAAAAACACACAGAATGCACTCAGTGATCATATCAAACAGGTTGCCGAATAATCCTTCACGTTTAAGATTGCTTTTGCAACATGTGATTTTCATCCAAACTGTCTACATTAATTGCATCTTTTCTTTCAAAGAGGCGAGAAGTTGCACAAACTGTCTTCTGCTTGGTTGCCGTGTTTGCCTTGTGTTGGTTGCCGCTGTACATCAGCAGAATTTTGAAGTCAACAATGTATGATGAGAAAGATCCTAACAGGTGTCAGCTGCTAAGGTGAGCTGCAGTTTGTTCGTCCGTGGGAGCATGTGTTGATTTATTTGTAATGTAGCAAAATAATTCATTCACATTTTTATTGAATTGACAGAAATGATTAAGGGGCTATACATGCACAACTGATGAACCTTCAGAAACAACCTTATAAAAGATGACCACCATCACTAATTATAACAACTTAGTGATTAAACAGATTTTTGGAAAGACTTTGGTCTGGTAGTAGCTGAGAGTCCTCCCCACCAAATCGATACAGTTTTTATTTTTTTTTATTTTTTTACACATAACATACTATAAACTTAAAATTTCTGAAGCAGATAGAAAATGCCTAAATATGCACCCCACATCTCCAAGCATGTATACTTAAATGTTACATATATGCAAAATACAACAACTACTTCAATTGAAGTTTGGCTAGTGTTAGGGATTTTGTCAATATGTTTATCAATAACCCATTTCCTGTAGTTGAAGAGAAAAGGAGACAATGAGACAACAAGTTAACCAGTTATAACTGTGGCATATGCACGAGGCAAAATGCCCCGAACATCTGGTCACAGAGTTCGTTTAAACAAAAAGATAAGAATGGGAGTGAGGTCATTGTGTGTGAGAGAGAGAGAGAGTCAGTGTGTGTATGAGTGAGACAAGAATGTGTGTGTGTGTTTGTGTGTGTGTGTGTGTGTGTGTGTGTATGGGAAGAACAGTCACTACGTTTACATGCAGCCAATATCCGGGTTATGATCGGGTTAAGGTCGGTATTCGGGTTTCTGAGTTGATCAGAATAACCCGTTTACAAGCATGAATAGAAAGAGTTACCCCTAACTTGCATAACCCGATTTAAATGCGGACGTTGGGGTAGCGTCAGGATGTATGGACTACGTCCAGACGCAATATGCGTAATTTCCAGTTCTTCTTGTTCCGGTATCCGTGAAAACAACAACATGTTTCCCAGTTCGGAAGAGATAGCGACCGCGTTTGTTTGCGCTTTAGTTTCCTCGTCACTCAAAGTGTGGTGCTGTGCCGCGACTTGCCATGTTGCTCCCAACTTGTTGTTTACTTCCGGTGTTCTGGCGCATACAAGACGTCTCGCTACTCAAAAGACCAAGATTCCTTGCGAACAGAGCATGCGCAGAACACACGCTTTGATGGGGATATCCTGATGTGCGTTTACACGACCAAACATTCGGGTTAGAAAAGGGTTACCCCAGGTGTAGTAACCGGGTTTTAAAAAACCCGGTTATGAGCATATCCGGGTTTTTGGCGGTGTTTACATGGACCTGCGGAACCGGGTTATTGTGAATATTCTGGTTTTAAAGGGGTTACTGGCTGCATGTAAACGCACTAAGTGTGTGGGTGTGTCTGAGTGTGAGAATGCTTCAGGACATTTGTTAGCAGGATTAAAGCAATGAAATATAAAATCTCCATGACAGCTAGTTAAGCTAAACAATCAATAAATAAACAAAGAAACATCAGATCTGCTCTGCTTTGCAATTTGGAGTAAGAGCAGAAGTAGTTGAAGAGTTTGGCGTAAAATATTTGCATGGTATGTAAAAGTTGTGACAGTAAAAGTGTAAACATCAACACAGATACTTTCTGATATTATATTGTGATGCCAATATTGACTGATAATTTTGGACAACCCTAGTGATAATAGATAGTTTAAAATTTTCTCCTTTAACCATTAGAGCAGGGCTATTCAATTTCGAGCCTCGATTGCCGGTATCCAGCATGTTTTAGTTTTAACCTTGCTTCAACACATCTGATTTCAATCAGCAGGTGATTAACAGCTTTCTGCAGAGCCTGATGAGCTGCTGCACAGGTGACCCAACCACTCAATCTAGTGTGTTGGACCAGAGAACTCACTAAAACGTGATAGCCCTGCATAAGAGTAAATGTTTTCTGTTAGCAGCATATCTCAAGAACCAATGGATGGATTTTGAAGAAAATTATATAAAGTAATCTTCGTCTTCGTCTTCGTCTTCCTCCGCTTATCCGGGTCCGGGTCGCGGGGGCAGCATCCCAATTAGGGAGCTCCAGGCCGTCCTCTCCCCGGCCTTGTCCACCAGCTCCTCCGGCAGGACCCCAAGGCGTTCCCGGACCAGATTGGAGATGTAACCTCTCCAAAGTGTCCTGGGTCGACCCGGGGGCCTTCTGCCGGCAGGACATGCCCGAAACACCTCCCCAGGGAGGCGTCCAGGAGGCATCCTGACCAGATGCCCAAACCACCTCAACTGGCTCCTTTCGATCCGGAGGAGCAGCGGTTCTACTCCGAGTCCCTCCCGAATGTCCGAGCTCCTCACCCTATCTCTAAGGCTGAGCCCGGCCACCCTACAGAGGAAACTCATTTCGGCCGCTTGTATCCGTGATCTCGTTCTTTTGGTCATTACCCAAAGCTCATGACCATAGGTGAGGATTGGGACGTAGATCGACCGGTAAATCGAGAGCCTGGCTTTCTGGCTCAGCTCCCTCTTCCCCACGACAGATCGGCTCAGCGTCCGCATCACTGCAGACGCCGAACCAATCCGCCTGTCGATCTCCCGATCCCTCCTACCCTCACTCGTGAACAAGACCCCGAGATACTTAAACTCCTCCACTTGAGGTAGGACCTCTCCCCCGACCCGGAGGTGGCAAGCCACCCTTTTCCGGTCGAAAGTATAAAGTAATCACATATGTTATTTAAATAATTCAAGATAGCCGACTGACCTCATACAACAAAACAAAAATAAGTCAAAACTACTAATTTTTATGGACTTTGAGCTAAAATCTGATCTCATGGTAGTTAAGAGTCTATCCCAGCACATACTGTTGGTGCTAACAGATTTAGCTCCATCATTTCTCAACAAAAGAAGATCTTCGTTTAAACTCTGTTGTGAAAATTTTCAAGGAATAACACGTTTTTAAAGGTGACACGACATGTTATGCAAAACTCACCGTTTACTTCCTTTTGAGCTGCCATGTGGGTCTCTACTGCTTGGTTTGATGAATGTTATGCCTAAAACAAGCAGTTTTTTGAAAAATCCCCTTTTGTGACATCAAAAAAGGAAAAAAAACCCCGGAATGAACCACCTCTCACGTACAAGAGAGTCTCACCCTGATATACTGTAAGAGCTTCTTAGCTTGTAGCAGCGTGAGCGGGAGATTGGTGGGCATGGCCATCCCCAGCTCGTTTTCTTAAAGTAACAAAGTCCTGAAATGGCTCCTTCTGGCAGGTACTGAAACTTTCAAGACTAAATCTGCTGACATCTCTATGTGAGAGGGATTTAGTGCAAAAAAAACTTCGTGAATATGTTTCGTATCGACCACAGAACCGTCATAACTTAAGAAAAAAAGTCATTACACATTCTCCTGAACTATGTAATGTTTTCTGAAATATTTGGTTCTTTTTCAGTGCCTTCCTCATTCTCGACTATTTTGGCATCAACATGGCATCGTTGAACTCATGCATCAACCCAATTGCTTTGTACATTGTCAGCAAAAGATTCAAGAAATGTTTCAAGGTGAGTGTTCTCATCGCTGCTCCTCTGCTTCTGGACAACTGTGATATATGTCGAAAACACTGCAGCATGTGTTGTGTTAGCTGTCGAGTGTGTGTGTGTATGTGTGTGTGTGTGTGTGTGTGTGTGTGTCTGGAGGACATAATGGAGTCATGTCTGTAAAGACTGCTGCCAGACTGCAGCGAGTATACCTAAGGGGGTCATAAGTGAAAATGGTCTGGAAAAACATTATCAGAGAGTAAGAAAAAGGGAGACGCTTGGCAACCTACCAGATATTTAGTCTCTGAATCAAAGTGACGGGTTATGAAAGAAGAAAATAATGTATCTTGGAGGCAATTTTTTTTAAAGCTTTTATTGTTTTACAGCTCAGAGGAAGATATTGGAAGCTCTCTGATTTATGTTGAGTAACATCAGGTTAAAACCACAGTGCTTAGAGTCTTTATCTTCCACTGCAATTGCTTTATGTCATATTTACGTGTAAAGTCTTGTACAATGTGCTTTAATTTAGCACTTAAATTCAATTAACAGAAAACTGCAGCTTTTAATGTCAACTCAAACAAATAAAATGGCACCATTATCAGTTAAACCTCCTCTAATGCCTTTTCCTGAACAAAACGAGGCTCATTTAGCGTTAGACGTTTAACACAAGTAGGCTTTACTGCCTGTGAAGTTGGTAGAAAATGTCTCATCCACTGGCTAGATGTTTTTTTTTTTATGTTGTCTTTCAGGCATGCCTTTGCGGTTGGCGTCTGCCTCTTCGTGCGTTCACCTACGACGAGGCGCTGCCTGTTTTGAAGTCCAGAATGCAGGATCAAGCCTCAGAGCCAAGCAGCAACATCAAAGCTCCCGAGGAGACCGCCACACCTCCACCCTGTTAGCACCGCGCCGTGTTAACAAAACTCATGTGTGAAAATACTTTGTGATCCTGTCAATATTTTCTTTATCAAATATGGATGGCTGTCAAAACAAACACCAGAAAAAAAATCTCCAGGTTGCTCGGCAACCTTGACATGCCAACCCAATGACACAAAATACCCCGTCTGGATAACACGGGGGCACTGTCTTTTGTAACGCTGTCGTCAGCTGAACATCTGCTTTGGCATGCGCAACCTGGAGTCAGGCTGCTCAGACTATCATTTGCCCCCGAGGCTTGACTCGCTCCCAAACATTACATCAGATTTTTTCCTTGTACCTATCCTGTATCATGCACCGCAAGTTCTCAAATCACTGTTTTGGGCGCGATGTTAAGTTGGCACCCATCAACAGATATCTTGTCACAGCTTACGGCCTGCATGCATACATGCATCGTCTGCTTCAGGATTCCGCAGAAGAAGGAGAGACTGTGCCGAGGGGAGATCAAGCAAAATTTAAATTATTGCTGCGGGGCTTCAAAGCACTTAAATGTTATTTTCATTTCAGTTTCATGCACAAACACGGCATCCGAGGAGTTTATAGTTCCCCGCTTTCCTTCTTGAACCTTGAGAAACCTGTCAAATCGGTGCCACAAGTAGATCCTGTCTCTGCCAGTGAATGAACTGATTGATGGTGGCCTATTTTTAATGCATTGTTAAATGTGTAATGCATGGAGACGCTTTATAAAAGACCTGAGAGAGGGGGAAGAGGGAGAACGAAGATGACAGAATGAGGTCAGGAGGAGCGAGGGATGGTAGTGGTGGGGGGGTTTAGGGGGTGGCACCTGATAGGTCTTCCTGTCACAGGACAAGCACAAATAGCGCACCATTCTTCCAGTTTATGCTGTGTCAGTCTCCGAAACTGTCTCAATGCTGCAAGCTGCAGCGCTTATTAAAAGTTTCGCTTGTCAAAGTAAACTCAGACGTTTAAAAAAAAATCACTTGTTTGAGTAAAAACGATGTGAATGTTTGAGGTTGTTTGTGTTGCTGGGAAAGTGCATTTTTATCAGGATTTTTTAAATAAACTTCATGAAATCAGACTCATCAAAAGACATTTTTAATCATATTTACCTGCATATATATATATATATATATATTAGTTTTCTTCTATATTTCTGAGTGAATTAGATAAATGATTAAATCCTTTAATGTGAAACATTACAATGTCTCACCACTTGTTACTGGCATTGAAAAAACTAACGTTTTCTCTCTTTTGTTGCTCTGGCAGATAGAATGAGAACACAAGGTTGATAGCATAGTTCTCTGAAGATTTATAAATGTTTTTCAGCAAGTTTTTCCAAGTAATTTGCTCTTATTTAATTATTTTTCTTGTTACCTTCTATAGAGCAGCAGCTGTGTGTGTGGCAGAGACTCAAAAGGATGTCTGTCAGAAGAGTTTTACTTCTGGTTTGAAAAAGTGAATAATATTAACATGAAGCACTTGTTTTATCCTAATAATTGTGCATTTCCAAACTGGAAATTGTTTGTTTTTGTTTATTTTAACCTTTAAATGTCAGCTTATCTTCTAGTTGCAGCCTAAGACGGAAATATCTGGATCCAAATGTTTCTGATTAGAGATCCCAAAATTTATGTCTCAAAGAAAACAGATAAGGTGTGTGTTTGTTGTGTTTCCTGCCGTGCTCACACACTCATGTTCATCGGCATTGACATTAAATAACCAGAGTCTGGGAAGTAATACGGTGGTTCAATATGAGCACACTTACTGTGAAGACAATATTCGCTCAGCTTTTCTTTTCAGCTAAATTGTAGCACTTAATTTATTTCAGCGGTATTGGTCTCTGCTGCACATTTACCTGACTATAATTTCGGTGTGTAATCTCATCACGATTCATGATGAGGAAGAAGATTAAAAGCCGGCACAATTAAACGGGAGGCTGCAATTTCTAAAACTATGAAGTACTCGAGCGTGTCACACAGTAGGGTGTAAATTTTAGAATATGCCAAACTGAACAATTTTGTTTTGCAACAGAGTTGCACAGCAAATATTCATTAATTTATTATAAATATTTTATTTTTATTTAAGTAAAAGCACAGACACAAGGGTTGAAGATCACTTAAAGGCCAATTTAACTAAGACACTATTTTTTACATTTTTTTAAGCATGATCAGCCACTCTGAGTTCAACATGTAGGTTTAATGTGAAAATAGTCTTCTATCTTTATCTCTTGCATTAACCACGAATAAAACATAGACAGGACATTTTTGGATTAGAAGTCAGTGGCATTTGCACCCTGTAGTGTCAAATTAGCAATCATGGACTCACCCATCTTAGCTCACGAAAGGGAAATTGGTATTGTTTTTGCATCCAGGAGAGAGCAGAGCACGTCACAACTAGTAAAAGCTAACCATTAGCATTAGCAACTACACAACATGGCAGAAGTGCTTCAGGCTTGTGTTATTTGTGGAGATAAAACATCAAAATTGCAAAGCAAATGGATTCAGTAGTAACGTTGCATTGCTGTTAGCCAACCAGAGGCGAGATGTTCAAATATCAAGAAATAGGAATCCAAATCTGCCGTCTTCTGCTTAACTCTGCGCTGGCTCTCTTTTATGAGCATCTTTGTTACATTTGTCCTATGTGAGGGCGATATCGTCCTCTACTGTGTCAGCAAAAGGTCACACCCATTTACTTACCATGGGTCCCCAGAAGTACAAAAATATGAATGCAAGTCAATGGGGCTAAAAACGCTATTTTCTGATCCCGTTTGTTCTGTGCCATGGATTTCTCATATAGTGTCCGTGAATTTTAAAGACACATTTTCATGCTAAGAACACACTTATTACCGAACTGGGGAAAAAATATTTAACAGCGGTTTTGTGTGAAAACATGTCCAGGACTACAATAATCATAATCAAACCAGACACAGAGAAAAGGAGAAGAAAATGGCATTAAGTTAAACAATCTTCAAACCTTTCCAAAGAACCACCAGAAAGCTGACCATTTGGTAAGTAGCAGCTACGCAAGGGCAGAGGAGATTCAGCGGTGACATACCGGTGTCTGAGTTTTAGTCACGATAATTACAAACTTCAAACTATTGAAATTGAACATACGTGTGATCTAGGGCGTAAGGCAAAATGGATGAGAAAATAACTCTTTTAGCGCCATTGACTTGCATTCATTTTTTGTTCTTCCATGGACCCATGAGCTGAGCGGAAAGAGAGGAGGCTTAGGCTCCTTATGTACTCTGTGTATAGTGAAGAACCAGAAAATTGGCTGCCTAACCCCAAACTCACACTGAACGCATCAGCGGAGCAGAACAGCAGCTGAACGTCACTGCTTCAAAAAGAATCCAAATACAGTCTATGGACTATTTCAAACCAGCAGCAACGCGGCTATTTCCAGGCACATCCTAGAAGCGGCACGCCGTGCCGCTAAAGATATGATCGGGTTCTATTTTTTGCCATGAGCCACTTGTGGGACACGTCAATTTCCATAGTTAACATAGGGAGAATTGTACAATGGGAGGGGGGGAAACACCAATTAAAACACTATCACCTTTTAAGCAGAAGCTTGCTTCAAAATATTGTGTAGTAAAAGACAAAAGTAGAAAAGAATTACTGAAGTCAAGTAAAGGAGCAGAAAAATTGAAACAGAAAAGGTACATCTGAGGGTGTGATGTGAAAACAATGTCGTCAGACAGAAGACCCAGCTTGATGTTTGTCATAGGTCATCTGTGGGGGTGAGGGAGCTAGAACAGCTGTCAGCGAAGCTGTCATCCCGAATGACCAAAGATCACCGATTCAAGTTTCTAACAAATGAGTTCCCCACCGTTCAATCACAATGAAATGCTTTCACGACAAACTATTTTGTTTTGATGGCTGGACAAAGCTGTGTGAACCACATTTAAAGGAGCTGCAGGAAGTAGATTCGTTAAACGTGAACTTAACACAAACAGAACAAAGTGAATGCTTGTTTTTGTTGTTGCAATTAATCCTATTTATACCTAATGTATTCAACATTTTGACATGCCCTCAATTAATGCAGAATTTTTATCTTTGACTGTTTTGCATGGTTGTTCATGTGTAGTTCAAATGCAACCACCACCAGACTACAGCCGTGCTGAAAGAAAGAAAGAAAGAAAACAATCTTTAATATAGCACCTCCCAAGATAAAAATCACAAAGGGCTTAAGAAAAACAAAAAAAAAATTAAATACAAAAATGATTAAATTAATTACTAAAAATATGTTTAAATTGACAAATAATTTAGATTGTGCCTGTTATTTTCCTGATCAGAAAAGCCCCTGGCTGCTAGCGTTTTTGAGCGTTTTTACTGTTTTTATTTGAAGAGCCACAGAATGTTTTAATCTATGATAATGTCAATGCCAAAACTTCCAAAACAAAGAGTAGACCCACCTCTTAGAATCTGCATGTTTCTAGTGTTATCCATTCTTTCATAACCCGTTGTCAAATTGTGATCGGCAGAAGCTTTTCCGGTACGCGCTTAGCTTTTTTCACAGCAGCGGCCCAAAACCATCTCCTAACACATGGATTTTCTGCTTCCTGATCACGTGACCTGTGACGTACGCGATGAAGATCAGCTTTAGAGCTGTGATGTTTGTTCTCACGGTGCGGGAGCTTGTTCCGACACCCGCCAAGTAAAAAAATGCAAATGACGACTTTAGTCAGAGCAGAATAAAAAGATGGTGATGATAAGGTCACACAAAAGCCAGCCTGAACAGGTGACTTTTCAGATGCTTTTTAAAGGAGACCACCGGGGACCACAGCAGCAAAAGATCTGTCACCTTTGGTCTTTAGCCTGGTGCGCTGCACAACCAGTAGACTTTGATTAGTGGACCTCAGGGACCTGCTGGGGGTGTAGGGACTAAGGAGATCACCAATGTAAGATGGTGCTTGTCCATGTAAGGTCTTATAGACCAGAACCAGGATCTTAAAATGAACCCTGAAGTTGACTGGCAGCCAATGAAGCTGGAGGAGTAGCGGGGTGATGTGAGTGTGTTTGGAGGTCTTGGTCAGAAGCCGAGCACAGGCATTCTGAACCACCTGTAGACGGTTCAGGGAGGTTCTGCTCAGACACGTGAAAAGAGAGTTACAGTAGTCTAAGCATGAGGAGATGAAGGTGTGGAGAACTGTCTCAAGTTCAGAGCGGGACAGAATGGGACTCAGCTTAGCAATGTTCCTGAGATGGAAGAAGGAAGAGCGAACAAGAGAACTGACATGAGAATCCAGGGTGAGAGCTGGGTCAAAGGTCACACCAAGATTCCTGATGGAAGGTTTGGTGTGGGAAGCAAGCTGACCAAGAGAGTCTCTGACTTTGGGAACCAGCTTGTCTGGGGCACAGATGAGGATCTCAGTCTTATCTTCATTCAGCTGAAGAAAGCTCCCAGCCATCCAGGTTTTGATAGAGTCTAAGCAGGTGTGTAACAGCTGCAGCTTAGACATCTCATGGGGCTTAAAGGAGATGTACAGTTGGATGTCATCTGCATAAAGATGGTAGGAGATTCCTTTAAAGGAGCTCAGGATGTGCCGAAGAGAAAGTAGATAGGGGGGGAACAGTAGTGGGGCTGCATGGTGGTGCAGTGGTTAGCACTGTTTCCTCGCAGCATGAAGGTTGCAGGTTTGAAACTCGGCTGCGGCCTTTCTGCGTGGAGTTGCGTGTTCTCCCCATGCATGCGTGGGTTTCCTCCGGGTACTCCGGTTTCCCCCACAGATCACAACATGCCCTATAGGTTATAAATTGTAAGTCGCTTTGGATAAAAGCGTCTGCCAAATGAATAAACATAAACATAAACACAGACGCCCCAGCACAGAACCTTGTGGGACACCGTGTGTGAGGGAGTTGATGGAGGACCGAAACTTGGAGACGGCCACAGAGAAGGAGCGCTCAGACAGATAAGAGGTGGAAGATGTGACTCTCATGTGCAAGCACCATGTGTTTACCAGAATGCTGCACATTTCAGCTCAGTCTTGAAGCTGTAGTACAACTGGAGATGAGTAAATTCTCACCAGCTGACAAAAGGAAAAATTTCATTGCCATTTACGTCTGATGTCGCTAGTCC